CTCATAGGTGCCCTCAATGCCCTTCCTACCCTCCATCTCCTGCAGATGAGAGGCCAGTACGCCTCTGCAGTTGTTTAAGGATTCTGTGGGTTTGCAGGCAAACAAGTGCTCACAAGAGCAGCTCCTGAACCACTCTGCTTTACGAACTTCCCCTTCTCAAGAGTGGTCCCATCTTGGATTACAGCCTACTAGGATTTGTCCTGTGTGGTCTGGGCAGATGAGAATGTCTGGCCTCAGTTGCTGTTCCTTGTGACAGTCCATTTAAACTTCATGCACAGGAAAGGGTCAGGGTTTTGAAAACTCATTTGTTTTGCTGGCAGTGTGTGGTCAGGACAGATCCCACTACAGGAGAAGCTGTGTGGGTGAGGTCATATGAGATCCTCTGCAATCAAACAAGATAAGTAGCTGAGGACCTGGCTTTGGAGATGACTTAACCCTGCCATTGAACTCATGCAGGTGCCACACCATTCTTGCTCCTGGCTAAATGAAATACAGAATTATTTTCAGTCTGCTAAAAATGGCCTTAGACGTTCCCCTGGGTTTTCAGCCTATTTTCAGTTCAGTGCTGAGCAAGGTGCCAAATGCCCTCCATCTGGGTGACACCAGTGAGGGTGCAGGGCAGCAAATGCATTGCTGAATCAATTCACGGGACCACAGGAGAATTGCAGAGCTGTACACTTTTTGACTGAATGACAGGTGAAAGGTGAAATACATGAAGATTTGTATCCCTCAATTTTTTGCTAAATATAAGAATGGAAGGGAAATAGGGAGTAATCAGACACTTTTTCTCCCAAAATTATTTTAACTTCGCAACAGAGTTTGCAGACATATTTTCAAAGAGATTTTGATGAGAAGGTGATCTGAAATGAAACTGTCTGGGTTTGGCCTGTGTTGGCCAAAATGAAAGGAGGTGATGGAGCTGGGGTGTTCAGTCTGCAGACCACCCCAGCAGCATATGTGTCCCCCAGCCTCCATCAGTAGCCTCTGCCTAGGGCTCCTTGGAGAAGAGGGTTTCCTCCAGCAGCCTTCTTTCTTCCCAGGGCTGGGGAGCTAGGAATTAGCTTCACAACTTCATTCCTCTGTGCTCTGCCCTTGCTGCAATCACAGAATCGGTGCACAGCTTGCTCTTTGCACAATGCCAGGCTTGTTACCTGTGTGCTGCAGCTCTGCACAGGATGGAGCTGAAACATCTTGAGCTTTCCTTTCACCTGGTGAAGGTTGCCTGGTTATAATGGTTGGCCATCACTGGGCTGGAGCATGGGGTACCAGACTGACACCAAGAAAGACCTTCTGGACACCTAGCTGGGTTTGACAAGTCATGGATGCTCTTAGTCATAAGAATCTGATTGTTTGTGCTCTATAATGGCATAACCAGAGTCACTAGATTAGGAAAAGCACTGAAAGTGAGGAAGCCTGTGAAAACATGATGTATTGTCATTAGGATAAATGCTTAACATCATTATGCTAAAGGAGTTGGGGTTTCTTTGAGTGCATCTGTCATTTGATTTTTAACCTCAAAGAACAAAAAAGCAACCTCCTTTCACAGTCTGGCTTCTCAGTGTCACTGGAAAGCAGATTTCTTTTTAAGGGGATCCATATGGAGGTACAAATCTGCCATTGTTTTTGAAAACTGAATTAGTCCTTAGTTTGCTTTTACTTAAACTGAAAGCATTGTGTTAGCAACCAGGAGGACTGGATATTATTAGTAACCTTTTACAGGAAATGTGGTATGTCATGGGTTGAGCATATATTTTTCTGGAAAATGCAGTGTACAGTGAAATGGGGGGAATAAGTAAACATAAAGTGCTTATACAGCAGTTCACTCTATTTGAACACCCAGCAATACAACTCCGAGGTTACCTGCTCATAAAGGAAGGAGGGAATGATATTTGAGATTTATTTTTGGCTAAAAGCATGAAGTGCAAATAGCTCTTTGTGCAAAATGTCAGCCGCATTTCTGGGAAGCAAACAACATTGCCTTAATAATCCATGGCAAATAACAACACTAAGAATGTTACCACCTATTATATACACCTGCAGGTGTATCTGGATAAACTTATGTAACTGTAGTTTGACATCCAAAATAAATACAGTAAAGTAAAACAAGGCATTTCAAACAAGTTATTCTGCAAACTGCAGAATTAATGAAGTTTAGGATGAAATTCAGCTTCAGATAACAAAATCTGGGTGCCTAGGTATTCATGTATGGAGAAGACGTCTGAGCTACCACTACAGTCTTCAGAGATCTAAGATGACTCAGTTTTTTCTAACACCACTGGGGATACTGTAAGGTATCCATCCTGGTCTCCATCTAGACTCCCATGGCAGTGTGCCGTGTTGGCCAGTTGCCCTAGGATGACTTGGGCATGCTAGGATCAGTTGACACTAGATGACTTCATACTGGCAGCTGCATGCAGCCCTAACACGGTCACTTGTACTTGGTCAGGTTCTGTTGTCTACATGAGGAGCCCCTTTTGATTGAAACAAAGCTTAGATGCCCTATTAGACCCTCAAGTTTTGATGTCTGAGTCTGGAGGCAGCTGCCATCCTTGGAGCATGATTCAGTTCCCTAAACACCACCAGCCTGGTGCCTGCAGCGACACCCTGTCGTGTCCTGGTTAGATGAAACCTGCAGCTTTAGGAGGACACAAATCTCCTGTAGGTCAGGTACAGATGTCTCAGATAAATTCAAACAATAATAGACACCTCTGTTAAGGTAAGTGAATTGAACCTGTAAAGTCCAGAAGATTTTTATTCTGGATTTCTTTACTGCCTCCCTTCCTCCAGCTCCTTCCCATGTCCCTAGGTTGCCGCTGGGAAGGAGACACATGCTGTGGCTTGTTCTAAGCTTTGTCTGCACTGGTGGCCTGGGCAGTGCCTCTTCGTTACCCCCATGCTTATTTTCAGGATGCTTATAACAACATGGTTATCTCTGATACCTCTATCAAATATGGTTCAAAATGGCTAAAGTGATTCTGCCAGTGACTCCTTTGCTGATGGACTCCCACCTGCTTGGAAGTATATCCAGTACTCTGGATTTCAACTAGTTATCAGAAAACATCACTTGCAGTATGTCTGAGTGAGATATGTAATGAAAGATTGATTCATACCAGACCGCCACAGTGATTAAGAGGAGACTCACACAAGCTGTCAGTGACACTCCAGTATGATGGACCAGCTAAGAAACAATTAGCCTTAATCTCACTTTACTTTGGAGCAGGGTAGTGCGCAGTGCAGCAATAGTTTATTCAGCAGTTTGTAATGGACATGGGCATCTGCTGTGCCACCAACTGCTTTCATTTATAATCACGGTGATTGCAAAGAGTACTTTACACAACAGTACTGACAGGACACTTCAAATGCAATGTCACCAGCGTGATTAAGACCAGGCTAGTTTTCAAAATTCCAGCTCTCATGTTCTGTATATTTGAAATAAGGGGGAATGGGGAGAAGTGGCTTGTGGCTCTTTGGTAAGGCACAGTACTGTTTATTTTGGTTTAGTAGACTTTATCAATCCAAAATACTGTCAGAAAGACAGAATCCAGGGGTCTTATGTGTTTCTGGTGGCATTCAGAGACCACAGACAAAATGCCTTCACAAAGGCCATTTTATTGTTAAAACAGCAGAAATAGTGCAGCACTGATCTCTCCCTTGCAATGCCACAGAGCTAGAACCTTGTACAGGGAGCAGATGAGTTGATACCAGGCAATTTGGTCCTGGTTTATTTTGGGTAAATATATTTTAGCTGATATTGGTTTGAGTCACCCTTGCCCCATTCCTGTCATCCCAGGCACCTACCTCCAGTGTGAGCTTCTTGCCCTTGTCAGTCAGCAAAAAAGCTGTAATTCATTCCTTCTCAGACCACAAGCAGGTGTAATGGCCCATACACAGGAGAGGGTGATCAGCCTGCAAGATGTTATTACTGGGAATGAGCCTCTAGAACAAACTGAGTTTATTTATTTGATATAATTGCATATATTGGGGGGGAGGAACCCACAATAAAGAAAAGTTGGAAAGTAAGAAGAGGCTTAAATCGTCACATGTCACCCAGATGTGTAGATGTGTCTAATCTTGCATTGCACGACCAAAAATGTTAGACAGTTCTGCAGTTTCAGGAACAAGAGGAAGCCAACTTACAGTCTCCAGTTCAGTTTGGATCATCCCATACACTTGTGAAAGTTTTCAAATAGTATTTTCCTGACTGGTAGAAGCATTTCCAGGCCCAAGCCTACCTTGGGGGTGAGCCCTGCCCAGATTTAGCCATGTTAATCCTGAGTATGATGACTTGTTTTTGCCTGGAGGGCAAAGGTTTTGAAACTATGTGACCTCTTAGGTATTTATTCACAGTCACAATAGATTTTCTTCATGGCCCAGAGGATATTTAAATCAAGACTGTCTGTGAAAATACATGCAAATGTTTCCAAATATACTCTCTGGTTTAAGTGCCATGCATATGTATATCATTATATGCTGTGAAATATAAATAACAATATTCATACTCAGTAAAAATCAAAAAGGTCCTGAAAACATTCTTTCTGTAGCTTTTTTCTGCATGTAAGCAGTACCTTTCTGGATGTCAATTAAGTGTTGCAATTAGTGATTTTCTCCAAGATGGAATACTGGCAATTACAGGAAATTCATTATACTACCACAATATGAAAATATTTACACTATGTAGCTTCCAAGGAAAATTTAATCTCGTATTTTGTTTCTGAGCTTTGCCTTTTCTTTTTCATGTTTTGGGGTGTTGCAGGAGGAGAGGGAATGTCACAGTGTGTTATTGCCCATGCTAAACGTCTGCACCTGAAATTAAAGTGTTTGGAAATGTCCTCACTCCTCCTTTTCCTACTGAAATCACCTACAATTAGAGGCAGTTCCATGAACACCAGTGGTGTTGCAGTGGCACAGATTAGATGAGACTCAGACCCTCCTGCTTCCAAGATCAAACATTTGTCCTCCACAATCAAATATTGATTTACTTTTACCTTTATTGGTTTCAGGTGCTCAACCTGTTCCTTGCCTTGCTGCTAAGCTCGTTCAGCGCTGACAACCTCTCAGCACCAGACGAGGATGGGGAGATGAACAACCTGCAGCTTGCTTTTGCTCGGATCAACAGGGGTCTTCAGTACGTGAAACGCACGACGTGGGATTTTTGCTGCAATGTCCTCCGGCACCCCAAGACGACAGCTGAAAAGAAGGCGATGATGAAGCTTGCTGCCCAGAATACAGGTGCCCTTAACAATTGTGTGAACAGTCATACCACCACTGAGCTTGGCAAAGACATGGAGAATCACAAAGAGAACCACGCTGAGGATGGGATGAATAAAAATGGGGAGAAACACCTAGGAATTACAGACAATGATGATTTTATGACCAATCCTGACCTATCCATTTGTGTTCCTATTGCTGTGGGAGAGTCAGATATCGAGGAGGAAGATGAGGAGCAGAGCACCTTTACAGAAATGGAGCAGGTAGGCAAATAAAATGTTTGCTAGGTAAAGCTCTTTAAGATGGCCTTTGTTCCCACCTTGGCTCTGGATCCATGGCTCAAGATGCAAATGTCCTATGGCCTAATCCTGCCTTTGATATGTTGCTAACTTCAGAAGAAGTTACACATGCATATCCAAAAGCAAAATTCAGTCTCTAACAAGAGGCATTCCCTTTGTTTGCATACTTTTTGCTTGTGTAGATTAATTCTTCTAACCAGAGCAATTAAACCTTTTCTCACACAGGAGCCTGTGTTTTTTCTTTCAGCTGAATCATGGGAATGTTACAGAACAGATCTTGGGTCCTCTGACTGTGTCAGGGACTTTCTCAGTGTGCAGAAATGGGCAATGGCTTGGTTTGATTTGTACAGCAAGAGTCAAGGGCCAGGCAGTTCTCTTAAAAATGCAGCAAGGTAGACGCTGATATGACAAGGCACCAGAGAAAGAAAAATTATGTAACTGAATGTATTCAGACAGGAAAAATAGGTGTTTGCCTGTTCTTTGGTGTGACATTGCAGATTTCTGTATTCCCCAGAGCCCTCAGTACTGAAGGCTGAAAAATTCTGTGTGGTTCAAAATGTTGGTGTAAAATGCAGAAGAAAAATCTTCACAGGAACGCTTTTCTTTCTCCCTTTCTCCCCCTCTCCCCTTTCTACCAGTTTTATCCCTTGACTCCATGCACCACATCTAGCTAATCTTTTGCAGACCCTCCAGCCTTGATCCAGCATCCTCTGACAGTGGCTGAGACCCACAGAGTTCAGCAAAAAAAGTTTCAGATCCAGTTGTCAGGAGGGATCTCTCTGAGGGGAAGAAAGTTTTGAAGCAAAGTGGTCCTTAGAGAAGGGCTGCCCTAAAAAAAACCCCAAGGAAGGACTCTGTGTCAGCAGATGGGCACAGATCAACTGCTAAATGTTAATTTCTGCTGCTTCACTGCAGAAATCTTTTCATTGTTAGTGCACCCACTCACCAACAATTCTTACACGTTGACCATCCCCTTGGGGAGCTGAAGGGTAAGGGGTCAGAAAACTCATCAAACCCCACTCTCTAAATAGACACCTACGTAACAAAATAAGAAGTCTGAAATTTTGGTGAATGCTTTTAGGGACTTCCTGGTATCTTTTTTAAGGAATACTTTTATTGAAATAACCTGTGGTTCAGTGTGAGTAGCATGGATACCTTTTTTTTTTTTTCTTTTGACCTCCTTTTCTATTCACAGAATTGTATTAGTTACACCTACAAGCAGAGGAGCTTCAAAGGTGAAATATGAATATAGTAGATGGGTTTCTTAGCATTAGTTGATCTGCAAATACTAACTAGTAAAAACTTGTTTAATAGTGTATAAATGTGTTTAATTCTGGAGGTTTGGTTTGTTTGTGGGTTTTTGTTGTTCTTCTTTTTGGTCTCTAAAGCTATCAACCCCTTTCTGTTACATCTGACAGGGGGTCACGATCTTAAAAACACTCGGATTTTTCCTTTACAGAGCAAAGCAAAAGTTTGTTGAACTTTGCATGAGGTCTGGAAGCGTGTATGTGTGAATGCACAGGTGTATATGTTGAATTGCTGTATTCCGCCTTCCTCAAGAGAAATATCAATGTTCAGAATTGCAAGCTGAGCTGCATCATAGGACATGGAGGGTTTGGGATTTTTTACGTCTTACTGTAACTTAAAAGTATGGAAATGTGGATTTAGCTGCACAATGTGTCCGTGTAGGTGCTGGTGTGTATGTTAGTAGAAGGGACAGGTAGCAGAAAGTAAACATGGAATTAGAACTTTAGTGAAATCTAATAGACTTATGAGGGAGACGATGCAGAAAAACAGGTATTTTAGTAAAATTGAACATTACGAATACAGTTGATCTGAAAATATTAAGAAAATTTCTTCAAATTGTTTCACTCATATTGAAACAGTATCATATGTAATGTAAACATCAAGGATTCAGAGTGAAACAAATTAGGAAGAAACAAAACCCAGTAGGAGAAGCAAACCAAAACACTGTTTTCACACTGTATATTTTAATGAAATTTTCAATAAACATTAGAGCAACGTTGTCACATTACCACAAGACATCTGGATTGCAGTGAAATAATGTAGTTCACTGATAGCCTATGCATTAAATAGAAGGCGTGGAGTTGAGAAGTGTATTAATTAGCTTTGTCACTAGTGTTTTCGTGGCTTTGACAAACAGCTGCTGCAGGTCATGGCTGCTCCCCTGCGCATAGCCCCGATCAGAGGTTTTCAACCTTTGTCCGCAGGCCTGAGAAGTCCAAACAAGAAACGAGTCCACATAGCCAGCAAACAATTTTATGAAACTTATAGAGAAGAAAATGTGTGCATGCAAGGGAGTTCCAACTCAAAAGCTCAAAATACACTGGCATATTAAATAAACAAAAATAGGAAGATGCTCAACAGCAGAAAGGAAAACTGTGTGATGGGCTTTGTGTTCGCCTTCCTGCCAAACCCTAAGAAATTCACACAGCTGTAAATGTCTCCATAAGGAGCAGAGCCATGAAAAAGCAGATCCAAAAGGATTGATAGATCTGTCATTTTTGATGGTGCCCATTCCAATGGTCTGTGGGCCCACAAATAGCTCTCTCCATCAACACATACATTACTGCAGAAGAAATTATTGTACCTGGAGGTCAGTATGAAATCCCAGTTCTCTGGATACAGGGCTGTGGGCATTACAGTGTGCTAACCTTTGTATCCAGGGCAGCCCTGTGGGACTCTGGGGAGTAAGCTTCCCCACTCCCTCCTGGAAGCTTTAATCCTGTGAGCCCCAGCTACATGGAGGTCCTTACCTCCTTCCCTCCAGGATGGCCATGATAACCACAGCAAAGCTCACAAAGGGAAGAACAACATGAACAAGAGCAAAATTTACATGATTGCACTGAGAGGACACAATTACGATGAAGTATCTTTTTGTGTGGAGGGCATCATAGAGAAACGAAACAAGAACTACCAAGGGTACGCTAAACATTCAAATTTATTCCAACTTTCCCCTAATTAGAATCCATATTTTTACATATTTAAATATTTTAGCATGTAGAAGGAGAATGTGTATGTATATTTACTTCTCAGGAGAAGACAATGTACTCTGCTTCGCTTTAAAGTTGTTGGCTGACCTGGAATTTAGCAGCCCTTTGGCAATATTACCAGAACCTTCCTTCCTCCTTGTGCATGTACATTTTGGTGCAATAGAGTGGGAGAGGAGGTGAAAGGAGATGCATAAACATGGAGTATATGTACGCATGTCTCTCAGCTGCACGGCTAAGTAAACATAAACAATCCTTACACGTCCTTTACGCTTTCTCTGTCAGTTGAAGATCCTGGATCATACTCTGTTCCTTGAGCGCTCACATCAGTCCAGACTGATGGAGAGACTAAAGGGAGGCTGGTCTCAAGCAAAACCACAAAGTTGTTGATCCTGATGGGGTGTTTCAGGGTGATCATCAGCTCAGCTTACAGCTCCTGTACAAATGCTGGCCTCTTCCCAGAAAGTCACAAAACTACTCTAAAGTAAGCCATTGTGTCTGTGAGAAATGGCCCCCACAGTGTTACATGCAATTTGAAATTTCAGGTGATGAGAAACCCTTCTGTGACTACACATTTTCCTCTGAGTAATAGAAATGTCTAAGTTTAAATTTCAGCTGCCATTTCTACTATCAAAGCTTACACTGGCAGCAGACATCTTCTTGAAAACTACCAATTTGTGGCACTGTCACTGACAGGGGTGAGCCCACCTGATAGCTTCTAATCTCCTTTGATTACTGAGATGCAAGTGAGATGCTCTGCTGGCTCAGAGAGCCAGGAGACACATGCCTGCAGCCCAGACGCATGGTGAAAGGATCAGAAAGAAAAGCTGAACGATAAAAGTCAGCACAGGTGCAAGAAGCTGGCTGAAGAGGAGTGAGGCTGGAAAAGGTGCACCTTGAACTTAATGAATTCACCCTTATTGTTTGACACGTGCATTGATGCCAGTGACTGATGCATTTTTGCCTAGGGCTTTACCTAGCCCCCTTCCTTGCTCTCCTCATAGTTCTGGGGAATTCCCTCCTTGCCAGACCACAAGACTTTTTCAGGATTTGAGAAGTTTAACCTTATAATGTGAGCAAGAATAATCACAACAAAAATATCATCCACCCCATCATACTTCAGACGTGGTGTCCAAATAACCTTCTATTACATGAAAATTGTCTTCCATTTTTCTTCTGTCTTTGAAATGTTTAATTCTTGATACAGACTGTCCTAGCAGGAAAGCAGCTCCCAAAAGCTCAGCAGCAACCACAGCAACATGTTGGTTGCATATTCACAGTGTTCTTCTGAGTAGTCATTTTGGCATTCTAGATAATTAAAAATTGGAAATTATTTTCTTGAATCTCCATGGAGTGTCTTGTAATCCCTTATAAAGACCATCTTTTCGTACGTGACACCAACTTTCAGACTCCTAAAGGAGTAAGAACCAGATTATGGGGACAGTAAGGTGATTGGGCAGTTCAGTGGGAACAGTCCAGTCCACCTGACCAAGTGGATCCTACCAGAGCTTACCTGCAATTTAACTACATTGAAAATTTCATAGTCAGAGGCATTCCTACTGTTTCCATTAGATGTATGTCCAAAGTTTAAATCTTTAGAATTCCTATTTTACTATTTCTTAACCTTCAGGGTGCTCACACCTGTAGACCAGAACAGTGTGTGCCTTTTTCACAGTGACACCACTTTATGGTGCAGAGAAATCCTGTGATTGATAGGCTTAAAGGAGGATGCAGATGACTAATACTGGGCTGATATCCTGAATGAGTCCCCAAAGTACAGGGTCCTGCATTTCCACCATTGAGCCTGTCTTGTCTCTATTACCCCAGGCCTCAGTGAAGTTAAGGTCTTTCTGCACGCTATCTAGATCCTTTTCTGCACTGATGAGTTCCTACAGTCAGCAAATTTTATTAGTACAACCTAAGAAAATGGCTACCCATTCTTTGTTTGAATCAGCTGAACAGGGTTGTTATTGCTTTCTCCCTTTTCTTAAGTTTAGTTACTCCATGTTCTGCCTTACTCAAAGTACCGCCCTCGACTTGATCTGTCTATAGCCTGCCACCGAGAAGAAAACCCATGTTGCGGTGGCTGGTGGCTCTTGGCCACATCTCATGTTTGCCCCCTCTGCAGCGACAGCAGCAGGCACGGATGCTGCTTTCCGCAGAGATAACACCTTTGTATTTTCACATGCAACGCGGTGCCGAGCCAGCAGCGCTTGCCTGCTTGTCTTCAGAAAATGCCATTATTGATTTGTTCCGATGGAGTGGCTAATTGGGTCATATGGAAAGTGCTGGCTGCCTGCTGCCGGGACAGAGTGCTTTGAGGCTTCTTACCCCTCTTCCACACCAGGCACGCCATGGGAATGCTGCCTTTCCATGCACGCAGCCAGCTCCCAACTCCTGCCGTAGCCCACTTGTGCCACCCTGAGATTGCAGAGCAGGTGGAGGGCTTGCCCATCCTCTTGCCCGAAGCTTACCCCTGCCTGTGGAAGTCCTTAAATAGCAGAGTGCGGTTTCTGTGCCTGCTAAGGCTTGCTTTTCCATGACCTGGCAGGGAATATTGACTGAGGAAAAGGGACATCAGTTTTCATTGCCCCTCAGGTTTTCCCAGTTTCTCACCTCTGCAGCTGCACTTCTCTGTACTCTTCCTAGACACCCCCCAAGTCAGAGCAACACCTCTGCTGTGATTTTCAAGAGGTTTGGTTCTGGGTCTGCACGGAGGACTGGAGGGGTGTACATTGCCTGGATTTTGCATGCAGAGTGAGTTCATTGCTCCAGAGCTCGCCTTCCTTTCTCAGTCATATTCACAGGTTTTTTCTCAATTGTCAGAGAACACTCCCTTTTGTGTGTACCCTGTCTGAGCTCCACCAGACACATCTGCCAGGAAAATCAGTTTTCCAGACTTTAGATGACGAACTGCCCCTGTACATGTCAATGGTAGAGCTGGCTGCCACCACAGTCTCTATTGAACAGTACAGTTTCTATACTCCTCTGGCTGAATCAACCCCCCCAAAGCTTTTACTCTCTTCTTCTCCATATTTATTGCAGAATTACTGACTCATTTCACTTGACAAGGTGAAACTATTTCTGATAGCTTTTTTTTTCCATGTCTCTACCAGTAAGAGACTTATCATTTTGAGATCAGAGAGGACTATTAGGATCATCATAGTTTAGCTTTCTCATAACACTGAGTCAAAGACTTCAACCAATAATTTCTGCACAGAGCCTGTAAGTTTATTTTAGCTATGATACATCATTTGTAAGACACAGAAAAGAATTAAATGTCTCAGGTAACAGAGAGTTCACCATCTGCATCTGCATCCGTTTCCTTTGTGTACAGTGAAATTTTTACTGTACAGTCTCTGTGCATTACAGACCTGCTCTGAAACCTCAAATGAGTCTGTACAAGTCAATATAATTATTCCAGGTTGATATAAGTGTAGCTGATATTATTGAAAATTGC